ATGAATTCAGGTTATTACACATTGTTTTTGATTATTAAAAATAATTAAACCATTTAATCTGAATCCAGAAAAATTACAACTGGAAAAACAAAAAGACAAGAATCAGAATTTTCATAGGGCCCTATTGTAGTTACAATCCTTTGTGTGTACAGCCCTTTACACCAACTTTCTAAACGTGCAGTAGCAGCAAAAATCTCTTAAATGAAAACCGCAAACTGAAGTCTGAACGGCTGCCATCTCCGTAAGATGTGGGAGAACTGATTTTGCATGTTTGAGGTGTTGACAGCAGCTGCTCAAGTGTGAAGTCGTCTCTTCACGTAGAGTAAGTGGGTGTGAGTGTGTGGCACGTTGACAGGTGTGCTAACACTGTGATTTTGAAATCAGTAGGCCATCTTTTGACACACACACAGGCTTTCTTTACTTTTTCTTTTTCAGGCTTTCCTTTTTTTGTGCATCTTCGGATACCATTTCATTGGAGTTTGAGGGCAGTTTTCCGCTCTGTTTGCAGCGTAATCTGTGTGTGTTTAGAGTTGTGTAAGAGGGCCGCAGAGTGACGGCCAGGGGGCCGCGCTACATCTCAGAGCTGCACGTCATGTGACACGAACACGCTCCCCAGAGCACAAACATGTGCCAGTCCGTATCAGACATGCCATTGTGATGCGTAGATGTTTGTTTTTGAGATGTTAGAAGGTGCTTGTGGGAGCTTGTTGATTCTAGAGTATGGCCGTTATGTTTTGTGTGTTTATATGATGTTCAAATGAGGGAGTTAGATGTCAAATGTCATCGCACGGGGACGTCCGGACACCTTTAATGGGGCTATTCCGGCCGTTTCCTGTTTGTGAAGCACTCAGACATCTCCATTAAAGGCCAAACTTGATAAACACCAGGTCTGGGAGAGAATGGAACGCTGAAGATCGGCAGCTAAGTCAGCAAGACTTGAGTTACTGGAAGTATAGGCTACACACGCACACATTCACAATACAGGGTGGGCATTAGTGCTAAGACTCTGACTAGACGGAGAAAAAAACTGTGACTGTGAGCTTGCTTTCCTGTCTGAAGATGAAGTGTGTTATAACCTTGTTTTCTTTGTGTTTCTGTCACAGGTGCTGGAGAATCAGGGAAGAGCACCATCGTAAAACAGATGAAGTGAGTGAACGATGTTTTCTCTTTTCGAAATCTCTTACTCTCTTTCAGACACATCTCTGAATGCCAGCTGTTGACGCTGGTGTGGATGATATGAGAGGGAACAGCTGCAACTCTAAAGTGAGAAAATGTTACGAAAGAAAATGTTCTTTCTCACAAGCATACACATATTCTTTGATATGGGACATTTAGGAGTTTTTTGCCCCTGCGCTAGTTAATAACACAATACACAAACCCCAGAGTTCCAAGTCTAAATAAGTGTTTAGAATCATTCACTTCAATGAGTCAGATTCAGGGAGTCATTTCAAAGGCTAGATCATCAATTTGAACAGCTATTCAGGTAGCTAGACAAGTTTAAAGTTGCAGTATAACAGTAGATAGATTCAAATCTTTTCTTCCACATTGTGACGCATATCCGAATGAGATAGGTTCTTGGAAATAAAAAAGGTAGCACAGAGTCTAAGTTCAATCCTTCAGTCGTTGGTTGAATGGAGGCAGATCTGAAGCTTGAGATCAGTTTGTAAGAAAGGGACTAGGTTTATGCAGCCAAAATAATTGAGGAAGATGCAAAATACGTACCAATAAGTACATATCACTGCGGTTTCCAAGCACTTGTAATCATTTTCCTACACAGTTATGATTACAGCTCAATATGTTTCATTTTCTGGATGTAACAAGCTTGCTCGGTAGCCCAGCCGGCATGGAATTGGACTTAGGATGCGGAATCCTTGGGTACGAATCCTGTGAAAAACCTGACTCATGATGAAAGAGCTCAAAGATGAGAGATCGAAAAACAAGCTAAAATGGCATGCTTGCAATTTGCGTCTTTACGTCACATTCGCTTTTGTTCATAGTATCGGGTAGGCTTAGGTGTAGTGTAGATGGTACGTTATTTTAAAACGTCACATAGCATTAGAGTTATAGCACCACTCAACGAACATTTAATATCAGAACTTCGGTGACACATACAAAACCAACGTCACATAAAATGTACCATATGTGCGTTCATCTGTTCTGGGGGGAAAAAAAACACTCTTTTAGTGTCACATCGAATATGCTACGTATTTCGCGTCTTGCAAAAAAGTTCCCACAGGTACCTTTTCATCATGAGATCAGGCTTGACATAACACGGCCATAAAACTAGTTCACATTAATTCATGCAATAGCACCCACTGTGGCAGCTCTGAGAATGCTAAATAAATGCATTGTATTATCAGCTGTATTCAGACATGTTTCAGAACTTAATAAAACGTGAAATTGTTTATGCGTTGTAAGCATACTTGTGTAGAGTATTTTTTGGGGCCTTACACAGAAGTCGTCTCAAGACAGAGTTGCCTACCTAGACAACATTTTTTGACACAAATGTTACAAACGTAATGCTGATGGCTACAAGTCCTGTCTGGGTATGTAGCCTATGTGTCTCCCTTGCTCACACTCACATAAACAGCTGTTGCTGTGCGTGTGTATGTAGTCGGGCCCCTGGCAGCAGTTAATACTGTTTATCTGACCTTGACCTCTGCTGCTCTTTTTACACCTCTGTTTCCCAAAGCAATTTTACAGTCTAATCATTCTAATGGAAAATGTTTTGTACTCCATCTCTCATCACTGAATGCATCCTGGCACACACACTCTGACCTGGGGTGTAATCGCAGCATTCATTCTTTAATAATTGAATTACATTATTATAAAATGACTCTAGATGTGCTTGGCTATATTGGAGAAGGTTGTTTGTATTTTCCCTTTAAA